AACTAGGAAGAAGCGCCAGACGTGGTACTTTCCAAGCAAATACCGAATGGCACGGAGCCCTTAGCGGAGTGCTGGAGTTCGGGCAGCGGGATGGAGAGAGCTCTGAAGCTGTTGCCTTGGTGCTGGGTTACGAAGAACGTGGCTGAGGGCCCCTTGCCCGTTTTTCCCTCGTGTATCTTCGCAGGAACAAGGTCCCATCCCTGGAGTGGTTTAGCACCTTCCAGCAGCCCTTCGTACTGCTTTTACCTTTCTAAATGCTGCTCTTGCAGGTTTTTCCCCCAGCTGTTTTCTCAAGTGTGTCCTCTGATCTTTCAAAAGTAGATATTTCCCTACTGTTATCAGCACATAATCAACAAGACTGCATGGATAGCAAAGTGAGACAAGCCCCGGCAGGGGACAGAGAGGTACGGTTCAGTCCCAGGGGCACCTCTGTTCCCCCTCGGGCAGCAATACTGCCCAGCTCAGCCCACGCAGAGCTCTCCAGGGAGCGCGATGCTGGTGGGATGTACCCATCTTGGGCTGAGCTCAGCATGTCTGTCCCCTCCTCGCTTGGTGCTGGGAGAGCAGTAATAGCAATTCTTGTGTTCCTGCAGAGCGGCTTCTGGGGCAGACCCCTAGATCTGGGCTGGTTTCAGCTTGTGGTCCGTGAAAGCTGTAAATTGCTGCAGAAAAGTTTAAACTCTCTGTTCAGGGACGTGGCCCACCTTTGCGGTGGTCTTGGGTGTTGAGAAGGTTTGAAAACCATTTACTGAACAGAGCCACTTTCTCCAGGGTAATTAAAATGAACGTGCTTGGGGTGCAGGGAGGGGTGTGGAGGTCCTGGCTTGGCTGTGCCTCTCCCCGTGAGGATGCTCAGCCCCGCTCTGTGTAAAACTCGGCAATAAGGAAGTTGGTCACCAAAAAAAGCCACTGATGAAGAGCACGCTTTATGATTTGGAGTTGGGAGCCAATTCACATCTTAGGATGTTTTTTTTCCCCCTTTTTGGACTTCCTGGCATCTGACCGAGTTGCCAGCCCTCTGTGTTGCCCTGAGGCACACGGCCACCCTGTGCTGTGCTGGCCAGGGACCTGAGAGCCGATTCTAACAAACCTTCAGGGATCAGAACCTGCAGGTTTCTGGGGTGTACTGGCATCTGCTCTGTGGGATGGCAAGTGTGGAGGCCAGCTGGATGGGAGCCGGGCCCGTGCTTTGGTTTGGCATTTGCCAGGTCCTGTGGTGCCCGTGAACCGGTGCAGCCCCATGAGCTGTCCCACCAGCCTGCACCGGGGGCCAGGTACTGTGCTGTCTCTGGTTTTATTCTTCTCTTTCCACTTTCCCTTATGTTCCATGGTTTTTTTCTTTTGTCTAATATTTCAGAATTTGTCCATCAGGCTGGCTGCCAAACTCAGCGAATGCCACCGACGCTGGGTGTTCTGCAGGGCCAGTCTGCCCCTGTGGCATCCGCCGAAAGCCCAGCTCTGCTAAGTGAAGGGGACAGGGGACCCTGGGCTTGCCAGCTCCCCTGGGGGAAAGACACCTTTGATGCTCTGGTTGTCACTGGTTTCATTAGAGCGAGCCGTGTCCGAGGCCAGTGGGGCTCTCCAGTCTCCTTGCCATGTCGGTACAGATGGTGGGGATGGTTTCAGCATTTGCCTTCTCCAAAATGAAGGAATTTCTCCAAGATGTAGGAATCCCTTTATGTGTCTTCCTGGAGGACCAGGAGGGGCTGGGCCAGTCTGGGAGGTGATGCTGCACCTCAGAGCAAGCAAAACCAACCCGGCATCCCTCCAGTGTGAGCTTCCCGTGGTGTTTCGGGTGGTCCTGGGTGCTGTGGCTGGTGGCCCAGTTTCTCTGCATCCTTGTTTCTGGCTGAGGCAGGGTTGGTTCCAGGGCAGGAGCTCTGCTGGGGCTGGGATGTTCAGCAGCCGCCACCTTGTGCAATCACCATCCCACTGTCCTCTCCTTCCAGACGAGGGACTCCTGCGCTGGGCTGGGCTCCTCCTTTTACAAAGGGCCATGAATCGTGAATCGTGAATCGCAGTCCTTGATATGCAGGGAGGAGCTGGGAGGAGCGGGAAAACCACCTCTGGCAGGAGGAGAGCTTTATTGCACCCTCTGAAATGTCACGTTGGTGACGCAGCCGCAGGCGATGGCGTTGGGGTGATGGGGTTGGACGTCTGTAGCCAGAGTCCATCTCTCTGCAGAACCCAGACATCACGTGGCTCTCGCCTCGTGCTGGAAGCTGTCGCTGTCGCTAATATGCCACATCAGAGATGAGATGCTGCTTGTCGTTAGCATTGGGGAGGGGGGGTAAAGGGCATCCTCCCGAGGATTTGGTGCAGTGGCTGCAGCATCGGTACCACAGGTGGCCAGCAGCAGCTCTTGGCCTTTCGTTTGCTCTGTATCATCCAGTCTGATAAAAGGTCGAGATGCTTGGAATAATTGTTGGTAATGGTCAGGCTCGTGATTGCTGCATCCTTTCTCCAGGCAGCAGTGTGGCAGACTTGCAGCCTGGTGCCCCAGCGGTATTTATTTGTATTTTGCCAGCACCTGCTCACCTCGACCTGCATTGCCTGGGGTGATGGACGAGCACAGAGTGCATCCTCAAGTTTAATAACGTAAAGGCTGAAGGGCTCAGACTCTCATGATATCGATATTTCTTTTTTCTTCATTTGCGTTTACGACGATTCTTCCCTAGCACCTGCTTTTAAGGTGGGTTCTGCTGTGTTTTGTTAGCCCTGGGGTGTGTTTTTAAGCAAATGGCTGGATGAGCTTCTCCAGCAGGAGTCAGGCTGATGGCTGTTTTCTTCCTTCCTTTCTCTTCCCTAGAAACTGGCAGCTGAATGCCAGAGTGCTGGCTACCCAGGGACCCTCATCCCGTACAAGTGTGATCTCTCCAACGAAGAGGAGATCCTGTCCATGTTCTCCGCCATCAAAACCCTTCACCAAGGAGTTGACGTCTGCATCAACAACGCGGGGCTGGCGCGCCCGGAGCCCCTGCTCTCGGGGAAGACGGAGGGCTGGCGGACGATGATCGACGTGAGTAGTGCCCCTGGGAGAGGGGGGAACTGTGCTGGATTTTCATTTCTTCTGGCCACCAGTGCCATTGTCCCCATCTGCTTATTTCACATGTGCAGAGCTGAGGAGCTGCTTCCCATCGGCTCTGACACAGCCCGGATCTGCTGGTGGGGGAAGGGGGAGGACATCGTGCGCTGCTGAGCTGCATGCCTTCACTTTGGAGTATGAAAACACTCAATACCTTCAGTAGCGTTTTTTCGTGTAGCTCAATGGCTTTCTTCACTTTTTTTCTACAATAAAATAGGAAATTGAATGCCAAGCGCTGGCTTTTGTAGCTAATCCCGTTAGTTGTAGCAGTGGGCTGTAAAATGAGGAGATTCTTTTTGGCTTAAAAAGCTGTAATGCTTTTTGTCTTTGTAGCTTAATTTTCTGCCCATAATCTGGTTAGAGCAGGATGTGAACACGGCAATTTCACGTGCCGAACTGGGAGTTTGTGCGGATGGTCCATGCCGTTCACTAGCGGCGCTCCTCCCTGGGTGTTGCTGTCCTGAGGCTCTGCTGTGCGTCTTTTCTGGACTCTACCATCTTTTGTCATTGTGTGATGTCCCTTCTCTGCACATAGCAGTGACGGCCACGGCTGCGGGACCCCCAGCAGGTTTGTGTGCCCTTGCGACGGCCCTTCTGTACTGGCTGTCCTGCAGCTCTGGCCGGTGAGATGCTGAAACGGGAGCTTTTCATGAAGGTGATTTTCCCCTCCTGTCCTACCTGCTTTTGTGCATGAATGTGTTACCCTCGTAGGAAAAGGAGTGGAGCTCCTCGCTCCGAGTAAGCCTTGTAGCACCTCCAGCAGCCCTGAGAGCTTGTCCTAGTGAAGGAAAAGACGTGTCTGTTTGAAAGCTGCTCCAAGCTGTAGGCTCAGAGCCACTCCGTCTGACAGCAGAGCCAGCCGGGATCTGTCGGCTCCTGCGGCAGCCGGTGGCTGTTCATCCAGCCCCAGATTCAGGGCTGTGTAAAGCAGAGCAGAGAACACATCGAGGCCTCAGACTCCTGCTGCCAGGGCAAGAGCTGCCATACCCTGGCTAATTAAGTTCTTGTTAGGATTTTGGCCCATCTGCTGGCTGCTGTGACTGCAGCCAAAGCAAGCTCAGCTCAGCTTTGTCTGCCCAGCCGGGCTTTTGTGGGTTGCCCAGCCTGGGTCACTGCACAGCCGCATCTCCCCAGCCCCGGTTGCCATGGAGTCTTTAAAGAAAATGAAGTGAAGTGTAGCTGAGGCTGAGCGGGTGGAAAGCAGGGCACTTCCCAGCGCTGTCTCGCTGCCAGCCTGGCCCCGCGGGTTGCCTGCGCCTTGTAAACTCCTTGTCCTGGTCGCTGTCATCGCGTCTCGTGTGGATGCCTCCGTGGATGCTGCGTGTCCCTTGTGCTCCCGGTTGCCATGGAGTCTTTAAAGAAAATGAAGTGAAGTGTAGCTGAGGCTGAGCGGGTGGAAAGCAGGGCACTTCCCAGCGCTGTCTCGCTGCCAGCCTGGCCCCGCGGGTTGCCTGCGCCTTGTAAACTCCTTGTCCTGGTCGCTGTCATCGCGTCTCGTGTGGATGCCTCCGTGGATGCTGCGTGTCCCTTGTGCTCATTTCTCTTTGCTCTTCAGACCTTTTGTTCTCTGGAAGGTGGGGAGCCTGGGGGGAACACATGGTTTGTGCCAGCTGAAGACCCTTCCCCTCTCCATGGCCCCTGCCCTGGCTGCTCAGGTGGGAGGGCTCCCTTTATCCCCCCTGCCAGCAGTTTTAGGGAGCAAGATTTTGGAACAGGATTGTCCTGAATGAGACACTCCCGCGTTGGTGTTTTCAGCGGCTCAAAGTCTGGGAGTCTGTGGGGTGCCCTTCCTTGCGGGTGCTGCTGTGTGTGTCCTTTGGAGCTGCTTCGGGGTGGGAGGAGAGGCAGGGTAGGGGCTCTGCAGGGGCAGCATTAGGAAACCAGGCTGGGGGTGTGTTTTATTCCCAGGGGTGATCTCTATGGCCATGTCTGCTCAGATTTGCTTGGCAAAAATGCTGTCGTAGCACTGGGAACAGACTGAGACATGCAGCTGGTGGGTTTGCTCTGGGCTTGTGTGTAATTGTCAGAATAACACGTGGACCTTTAATGTGAAGGTGAAGCCCTGGAACCCTCCAGAGCCAAATGCTTCACCCACCTCAGCCTGTGCAGCCTGCCAGGCTTGGGCTGTGCTTTTTAGCCTGTTGGTAAGTGGTAGAAATAGCTCTGGGTTTTTCCTTTTGCCTGTGTCCCCAGTTTTGTGGCTGTCACCTCCCCGCTTGGGAATCTCACTCTCTGAGCATGCCATGGCTGTGCCGGCGCAGCAGCAGGGTTTGGGGAGGGGTCTGCGCTGACAGCTCTCCCCGCTGCGGCACGCCAGCCCCAGGGAAACACTCCCCAGGCCTATTTCTCCTCCATGCTCTGAAGCTCTCGGAGGGTGAGGATGGAGGAAGGTTGCCAGCACCTTTCACGGGCCACTGGGCTTTGCAGAGCGAAGCTGGAGCAGGGAGGCTTCTTCCAAAGGTCCCTTGGAGAAAGGTGTTGGAGAGCGGCACGGTTTGGGATGCTGTTGGAGAGGTTCGGTGTACTTCTGGGCTGCAAGACGGGAAAAGTTTTTAAACAGTCATCGATCTATCGATTTAAGAAGCATTAGGGCCTTAAATTAAAGGCATTTTTTTCTTTTTGGTAAATTGATTTTTGCTTCCATGCATTTTTTATGAGCTTTGAGGCTCTGTCTCCTTCCATGCTCCCCTCTCAGTTTACCTATTCCGTAAAATTTCTTGATATACATCTAACAGTGTAAACCATATTTATAATTTACTTACTCCTCCTCTTTTTTAATGCTCCAGTTCCTTATTGTCCTTTATTTATTCCCAAGGGGGGAGCTGCTTCTCCCTGGGCTGCAGGAGTCTCAAGAATTGCATTTTCAGCAGCGCAGAGCCCAGTGTTGCCAGCCAGAAAATTCGGTGTGTGCGGAGGAGGGAGCGTGTTATCACAGGCAGGTTCTGAGCCCGTTCACAGCTTCTCCTCTTTTCTCTACTTGTTTATGAGGTTGTGCCTGACATGGGGCTGGGGCAAAGTCCTCCAGCCGCCCCCAGCCCACGCTGGAGTAGCCGGGGCTGGGCGCTGCGGAACACGCCAACTCCGGGCTCTGGGATTTGAACAGCTCCTTCACGTTTTACCTACTGACCTTCACAGCTGGGAATTCAAGCTGAACGTTCCATTTGCTGTGTTCAGGGCACAAAGGACTGCAGCGCACATCCTCTTGCTCCTGGAGACACTAAATGGGTTTGATTCTTGGCATTATCCGTTGGCCGGTGAGGCTCTGCTCTTCTTGCTTTTATACGCCATCTGTGCAGAGATATATTTTCTGTAACCTGGGTTTTTATATGTGCTTGGGAGCTGGGATACTCATTTAGATGCCTTAGAAAAGGCTGATTCTGGGAAGTGAAATGCTCAGCGGCTTCCAGGAACAGCATCTTTTATCTTCTCCCAGCCTGGCAATTGGAACTCATTAATTACTAGAAAATGTGCCTTTGTTGTTTCTATTGCAGTAGCACACACACGCGCAGTCCCCGACCTGCTGCCTCATGCAGCGTGCTGTGCAAAGGCAGGGCGCAGATGTCTTTGCTAAGGGACCTTTGAACCTTTTGTTCTTAAAATAGTGAGGAGGCTGAGAAGTGTCTTGCATGGATATTTGTAACAACAGCCTTTAGATTGTTTGTCCAAGTGATACAGCCCTATGGCTTGCTGATTTTCCAGGCATGATTTTAGGTTCCCGAGTGCCTGTTCCACATTTTAAAATGAGATTTCACCTAAAAAATCCTGCGGGTGCTGTGGGGAAGAGGCAGTGAGGCAATCCCAGCTCAGCTGCCTTCCAGCCAGTGGTTTTATTGTACCAGGGCGTCTTCTTGTACAGGCTCTGGACTTTCCCGTGTGGCTGTTGATTAGTATCTTGCTTTGCCAGTAGTTGTCAAAATGTTGTAACTCTCCCCACGCAAGGAAACGTTGCTCAGGGTGAGTCACAGCACTGGAGCCAGGGCTCAGGCTTTGGGCTGATGTTACCCTCTAGTGGCCTACGGCGATGGATTGGAGCCACCAAAGACACGGTGCCTGGTAGGCTCGGGGTGTCCTGGGGCAGGGAGGAAAGCAGGGATGTTGCTTATCACAAAGGCTTTTTATACCAACAGCTGCCCAGATCTGTATCGGAAAGGACTGGCTCCTCACTTGGGTGGTATATCGGACTGGAGCAGGTTGCTCCCCACTTTCCTTGACCACCCTACTGTGAAATCCAGCAGCCTTCAGATGCCCCACGGGCTCTGGGCTTCGCTCCAGTGCCGAGGTGCCACTTCTGTGGACATGTCTGCTAACCTTCTTCCTTGCACAGCCAAGGTAAATCTTCAACCCGGTGCCAGGGAATTATCTCCGCAGTTCCAGGTATGATGACTGAGATATCCGGCAGCGACTGTGTGCTCAACCAAAGTGCACTTGGACGAGGATGACGACTCTCCTTGTTGTGTTGCCTGGGTACTCCAAGATCAGATAAACATTCTATTTATCTATTGCCAAGGCAAAAACTCGTAAGCACGGCCTCTCATAATGAATAGCAAATAATGACCAAGACAGAAGCGGTGACCGGAAGATCATTGTTCAGCCGACCCCACTCGTCCTTTGTGTGCTGCTCAGTAATTACATCTCAAAACCATCCCTTTCTGCCTCTTACTTGCTGGTCTCCAAACCAGTGTTCCTCTCTGGCATGTCCTTTCCTGCTAGCAAGTCGAGTTAGCCTGCCCCGTTCTTGTTGATGAGTTTCACAGTGACGGTAGCCAGCCCTCTGATGGCTCCTTCGCTCGCTGTCCACATGGCCTCGTTCCTGCTGCTCCTCCTCCCATTTATAGTCGCACCTGACTTATGACTCATCAGAAGTTTAGTTCTTCTGGGACATTTAGTTCACAGTGGTGTTTTTAGACCTGGCTGGCCGGCTCGTTTAGTTAGCAAAGTGATATGCCATTAGGTGGGACCTGTCAGTGTGTCCTGCCCTGAAATGGTTCCCCCCCTTTCTAGAGGGCTTCAACAAGCACTTTCCACCTTTCAGCCACTTTCCCAAATCGAAACCACTATAAACTCAAGCAATTAGCACTGCCGCTGAGACAGCTCGCTCGTCAGTCTTGCACACACCTCTGGGTGGGTTGTATTTCAGCTGGGGGAATTTCCCTATCTCTGTCTTCTTGGAAACTTTGCCTCTCTGTTTCATGGTCAGCAAATGCTGAAGCCACCTGCCCATTAGCGGTGGCACACTGCAGAGGTGACACGACGAGTTTAACCAAGCCGCGGCGTGCTGGGAAGTGCTGCTCCAAAGAGAAGAGCCTGGAAAGCTCTGGGTGCTGTGCTGAAGGACTGGATACATTGCTGTGTCCTTTCTTCCTTGGCTTATCCGGTTAGGGCTGAGGAAGGTGTCAGCGGACAGTGTGATGGATCGGTGGCTTTCATACCTGCAGGGCTACTTGCCCACTGTGGCCTCCCCCGTGGCACGCTGTCATCTTTGGTTTCATGTGTGATGGGAAGCTCTTTGCTGGCCGCGTGGTTTGCAGCACCTCTGAGCGCCTGGTGCTCTGACAGGCGATATCTGGGGATTTCCTCGTTAACTGGCTGACCTAATTACCTGCTGTTAGCGTCCTATCAGCTGCCCAAAGACCCGCGTGCTCAGTGCTGTACAAAATAAACAGCTGTGTCTCCTGGACAGAGCCCTGGCTGCGGGGAGGTGGGTTTGCTCTCCCTTTGCACTCTACCCTCACGCTTGCCCCTAAAACAATTAAATCCTTTTATTTCTGGCAGAGGCCAAAGCTGTCTCCCAGAACTGGGTGTCTGTGCCTCCCCAAACCCCCAGTTACTGGTCGCAGCGTGGTGTGGGTGTGCAGCAGGTGTGCGGTGTGTACGTGCATTTCCCTCTGTTGGCGTTTGCAGGAATTGCCGTGGGTCGGGGACTGGAACCTGCGTCCGCGGCTTCAGGCGTGCAAGAAGTCAAAAGGTGCCAGGTAGGGCGGCTGCTCTTAGTTTCTTCTTCTTTTCTCATCCCTCAGGTCAATGTGATGGCTGTAAGCATCTGCACCCGAGAGGCTTACCAGTCCATGAAGGAGAGAAACATTGACGATGGGCACATCATTAACATTAACAGGTAGGCAAGGGGGGAACGTGGGATCAGCCCCCTCCCCACCTCGCAGAGAGGGTTTGAGCAGTGGAGCTTTAACCGTGGAGCGGGCTGGTGGTGCCCAAGGAGAGGTTTTCCAAGGATTGCAATGGTTGATTTTTTTCAAACCACTTTTTACCTCTGCTGGTCTAAGTGCAAGAAAGACCGAACCAGGGAGAAAAGGATAATGCCGACCGCTTGCAATGGTGCAAGGTTGAAGACTGAATCTTCTTGCCCAGCTCCAGCAAACAGCCGTGTCGAGAGGAGCCTTGGTGGTGTGCGGTTCCCACTGGAGAGGGGAATTCCTCCTGTAGCCACCACGCCAGCCTCTCTCTCCGTGTTCATTACGGTGGTTTGAATATCTGGTTGGTTCCTCCTCGGGACTCTGCTTGCCTCCCGCCTCTCAGCGCTTTCCTTTCTGCTCTCTCCTCAGCATGAACGGCCACAGTGTTGTGCCACAGTCGGTGGTGCATTTTTACAGTGCCACCAAGTATGCAGTCACAGCCCTCACGGAGGGGCTGAGGCAAGAGCTCCGAGAAGCCAAGACCCATATACGAGCGACAGTGAGTACTCTGGGCTCTCTTCCTCTCTCCTGCTTTTGTGAGCTGTGTCAAGGAATAAATTTTTTGGGGGCACAAGGTGGGCAAGTTGCTTGGCCGGGAGCGAGGGGTCTCGTGACAGCAGAGGGAAGCCGTCGGCTGGGCTGCCAGCTCTCATTTGGAGCTAGCATCTCAGCAAGTGATGTGTCCAGGATTTAATTTGTAGTGCAAGCTTTTCCATCGTTTTTTTCTCTGTCCCTTTGGGGCATGAAGAGGGAAGGACCCATCAGCGGTTCCCCAGAGGGACCTGCCCCAGCAGTCATCAAGGCAAAGCCTGCTCTCTTAAACTGTTCCCCTGGAAAAAGGGTGGGGAAGGAGAACAATAGGAAGGGGGCTGGTTTGGATTTTCTCTCTTTTTTTTTTTTTTAATTTTTATTCTTTTACTGAAGGGGAATTACAAATCCTATTAGGATGTGTTCTGCTTTTTTTTTTCTCCAGTGTATATCTCCAGGACTGGTGGAAACGGGATTTGCTTTTAAACTTCATGATAATGACCCTGAGAGAGCTGCTGCAACCTACGAGAGCATTCGGGTAGGACATGGAGAAACGGAAACAGAGGGAAGTGGCTCCGCTTATAGTGTAGCAGTCTCTCTCCTGGCTAACAGGACAAGGAACTAGTTCTGCACAGTGCCCAGTGCTTTTCAGGATGTAATCAGCAAACCCAAAGTCTCAGCATTCAAACCGCAGATTTTGCACTGATATTTACACCCTATGTAGGTTTAATTCAGGTTCAGTTTCCCACTCCCTATATTTTTTCTTTTATTTTGATGTTCCTGTAAATAAATGTCAGTCCGCTTTGACATTTTGCAGGCTACGACCTCTTTACTGAAGAGAAGATATAATAAGGAAACACACCTACGCAAGAAAAAATGTGAGAGCGTGTTGTCTCGCAGGTGGCTAGCACAGGATTCCTTGTGCTTCTCTGGGAATTTTTGAGAAGGATGGCAATGCCTGACCTGGCAGAATTACTGTGCCAGGAGGAAGAGTGTTCACAGCAAATGGAGAGTTATCAGCACCAGACACGTCCTTTGTTAAATTTTTTATGGATTATTTTTTTTTCCTGCTTGCTTGCAATCTTTTTGACGTGCCCCAGCGACACTGTCGAAACTCATTATTGATGGTTAGGAAAGGAGTGATCTTGTGGTTACCTTTCTGAGCTGCCCTTTGAACTAAGAATCTCTTTTTTGTCTTTCCAGTGTCTCAAAGCCGAAGACATGGCTAACGCTGTCATATACGTCCTCAGCGCCCCACCCCATGTACAGGTAGGCTGTGGGGGGGTTGCAGGACTCTGCTGTGGGTGGCTGAAGGTGGAGGGGGATAACTGCTCCCCTGATAATTATTAATCGGCATCGCTGTATCAGCTGAGTGCTTAGCACAGCCTGGGCTGGGGATTAGCAGTGATCCTGGTTGTTTACAGTTCCCTTATGGCAGCTATGGGGCTGCTCACCGCCCCGCGGAGCCAGCAAAGGCTGCTCTGACCCCAGGGAAGGACTGTGCGAGGCAGGGGCAACGGGAGGGATGTGGGCATGGTTTGCCCCCCCCTTTTTTTTTTTTATATAGTGGCATCTGAGATTTCCCGAGAGTCTTGCAGCTGGGTCAGGTGCCAAATGACATGTTGGGCCTGATCCTGCCCAGTGCTGTGCAGCTCCCCAGGGGTGGTGTGAGATGCTGGTGCTGCCAGAGGGACTTCCCTCCTGTGAAATGAGAAATAAGTGACCAGCTTTGAGCTGGAGCCAGGAGGAGGCAGGAGCAGTGTCAAAGTTTAGTATATGCAATGTGAAAGTTCCTGTTGCAAAACCAAACTTTGATCGTGAGAGGTTTAGCAGCCCCTTGGGTGAACTCTGCTCCGAGGAGCAAGATGTGGCTGTTTTGACACTGGATGAGCAGTGATAGCTGCCTTCTTGTCTTAAGAAGATAAAAAAGTCCTGCCCTGGCTGATCCAGCAGTGCTTCTGCTTAACCCTCTGTGCGCAGGACCAAACTGAAGACTTGAACCGTGAGAGTTCGGTGTCATCTTGCACCTTTTCTGCACCTGTTTGTGCTTTTATCCCTTGGGCTGAAGACAGAGCAGTCACATTCACCTTTATTTCTTTATAACATCTCAGTTAAGTAGGCTCATTTCTTGCCACTGTAACGGTGCAGCATGGAAGTGCCCAGTGCAGTATTTAAAATGGACTCCAGTGCTCCAGTAACATTCTGTGTCGGTCTTTTCTAGATTGCAGATATACAGATGAGGCCCACGGAGCAGATATCATAGCAAACGAAGGAGCGGCATGAGCAGCACCATGTATCCACTCCACTTCGAACCCTCTGGCAATTTAGGGTTTCGTCGGCTGGCTAGCAACGTTTTAATCAAGTACCAAGGATCACGTTTGAAGAATTATTTTTCTCTCCCTCTCTCTGAGCTGGTGCTGGTGCTGAGCCAGTTTCAAAAGAAATAGTAGTGGGTCTGTTTCTTCCCCACTCCTTTCTGAAACTGCTAAAGAGTAAAATGTATTTGGAAATAATGCAGGGAAGTGGTTTGTGGAAGATTGTTGTCTCCAGGCTGGTTTATTCTTCCTTTTGTTTTCTTTTCAAGGTTTGTTTGATCTTATTTGCTGATGCCATGTCTGGGCACAGGTGAAGTGTCACGAGATGTTTGCCAGCTTTAGTGTGCTTAGGGTTTGAGATTTTCAGTAGATATCATACATGAATCCATCTCATTTTGGGGTTTATTTTAATCAGATTGATTACTGATGGTAGTGATGCATGTGATATCTTCTACTTCTTTCATACTCCACTGCCCTAAACCCAGTGTACAATCTCGCCCACCTCCCCACAGCCTCCTTTCCCATTCCCATGAGTCATACCTGACAAGTTTGAGGAAGTATAAATGCGTGCGCTTGCTATTTCTCTTTCTTTCTAGGTAGGTAGGTAAATAGTTGGAGGAAAAGTGCCTGTGCTTTTGCAGGTTAGAATGATCATCTAAGTGGCATAGTTACAGTAAGAGTGAGTTGTTTGGTATTTTTAATAAAAAGTAAATGTGTGCTGTCTAGTGATCACCTCTACCCTTGGTATGATCTCCCAGCACTCTTGATGTTTTTGTATGTGATATTTGCATGCATTGACACTTTTCTGGACATACTGATGGGTCTTAGAAAGATGTACGGTGCTGTTTAAATGCTGGTGCTGATGAGTTGGACATGTTGAAAGTTTGTTTATGTGCAGAGATACAAACTCAGAGAGAGAGAGAGAGAGAGAGAGTGAAATGAACCATGCTGAAGCTGTCTAAAATGAAAATATCCTAGTAGGGGCATTTGCCAACAAAGCAGCAGGTAGAAGGTCTGGTTCAGGTCTCGTACTGGTTCTGTGCTGGCACAGCCCCATTGTTCTGCTCTGGAGTTATTCTAACGTGAGGGAGAAGAGAATCAGCCTCCAAGCTGATACATGCAGAGCTGGAGACCGCTTGAGTTGTCTTAAGACTCTTGCAGCGTGGCAGAAACACGTCTGTGTGTCATCCAACTCTCTACAGAGCTGTGGAGCTGTTACTGTACATGTTGCCTTAAGATTGCAGACTCGCTCCTGCTGCGCTCTGGGCTTCCTGTAGTGTTTTGGAAGGCGAACCGTTGGAGCAGGTATGGTCAGTTGATTGGAGGACTGGGAGCCAGAGACACTTGGGTTGGGTTGTTTTGCTTACACCAGTATAGTGCTGTGGGAGTTCATCTGTGTTACACCACCGTAAGGGAGACCAGAACTGGGCCGCTACATCTTGAGTTTCAACTCCCTGGTATAGCCTTGGGCAAGTCACTTTACCTCTCTGCCTCAGTTTCCTCATCTGTAAAATGGGGATAATAATACTTACCTACCTCACAGGGGTGTTGTGAGGACTCATAAACTTTTGTAAAGCACTTTGAATATGAGAAGCGCTATGTAAGTGCTGAGTGTTGATATGAAGTATTATTATTAATTAAATCTTGCGATACATATAATTCCTTGTGCTAAAGGTGAGCAACTGTAGAAGGATACAAGGAGAAAACTGGTAAAACATTCCTGCATAATGGCAAAACAAAGGCAATTTGCCCCTTTTTGTTCTCTATATAAATACATGCTCATGGTGTGTTCTGTCCGTTCCTCGTCTGTCACCAGTTTCTACTGGCAAATACACATAGCCCTGTCTCTGGATTTGGCCTTTTTATTTACTGTGAGTGAAAATCATGCCCCGTGGTGCAGTCTGGCACCTCTGTAATGCACTGCCCTCCTCCACCTGGCCGAGGCGGTGGCTTTGTGGAGGTTCTTTGCACAGAGCTGGGTTTCACCTGCGGCATTGGGTTAGATCGTGTCCTGCAAGGAGCAGCCAGTCCAGGTCTGCATGCAGCCAGCGATCCTCACTGCAGCAGAGAGCCGGCACCAGCTGAAAAAGCTCTTCGGTTTCCATGCCACCACGATGCCCAATTCAGAGGCACTTGGCTAAGGAAGGTTCAAGCACTACTGTGCTTTTTTTATAACACCCCTGTGATGTTCAGCTAGGCTTGGTATGAAAACTCCTGGTGTTTTCCATTGGGTTTCTTGCTGAAATTCAGCAGATGCGCTGTGTGGCATGTGCCATCCTTTTAAGAGAAGATGGTTGAACTAAGAATTGGAGCCTAGAAGAAAAAGATGAGAAATTAGGAACTTCTGAGCAGAAAAAACATGAGCAGGGATGGGGTTAGCGCTGCTGAAACATCTGATTTCGGGGGTGCAGCCCAGTACATGAGCAGAAAAAACATGAGCAGGGATGGGGGTAGCGCTGCTGAAACATCTGATTTTGGGGGTGCAGCCCGGTACGAAGTTAAGCAGATGTTGAAATCCATGGCTGAGGAGGGACAGAACTTATCTTTCAGCTCTGCAAAAGGAGAGAATTGCTTAAGATGTAAGACCTTGGACAACAGCCGGTCCAGGCAGTTCCTCTCCGCAAACACAACCTGTGTGACCTGCAGCCCGGGGAGTTTGAGATTTTTTCCCCCAAGAGCATTTGTAACATTTGCGAGTCTATAAAATAACCTTGAAACTATATCCAGTATATTTTTCCATTTTAAATATGTTTTTACGGGATAATTTGTGAACTTCCCCTGCGAGGTGCAGCCCGTGGAGGGGTCAGAGCGGCCAAGCGACCCTCGCCAGCCTTGTGTCACCTGCTGGCACCTGCAGCCACCTTCCCGGAGCGGCAGCGTGATTCTGAGGCGATTAAACACCCCAGGCAGGAGGGTGAACGTGTCGTTTATCAGTAGGTTTCTAATTGTGGACTGTAAAATAATAAAAAGAGAGGCACGCTGTGGTTCTTTTAAGCAGTTTTTGTGTTAAAACGTAATGTCCTTTTTACTGGTCACACCTAAACCTTTTCTTTGGTGAAGAGTTCAAACAGAAATGTGTGATTTTGGGTTCTTCGTGACACCCCAGGCAGGAGGGTGAACGTGTCGTTTATCAGTAGGTTTCTAATTGTGGACTGTAAAATAATAAAAAGAGAGGCACGCTGTGGTTCTTTTAAGCAGTTTTTGTGTTAAAACGTAATGTCCTTTTTACTGGTCACACCTAAACCTTTTCTTTGGTGAAGAGTTCAAACAGAAATGTGTGATTTTGGGTTCTTCGTGAGGAAAAAACATAATTGCTTCCTCGGGCAGAACAGCATCCGGGTGTCCCACAGATAACCAGGGGGGCTGGACTCACCGGCTTCTCTCAAGAGAGAAATCCCCGCTCCCAGGGGCCACTGCTGCTCAAACACTTTTTTAAAAAAATAATTAAAATACCAGGGCCAGGACTTTTCAACCCTTTTGTTGCTGGACCGGGGTGGCGGCGGTTGGGGTCTGTGGGATGCAGCCCCTTGCCCTGCTCTGTGAGGTGCCCTTATGAAGGGGTTAAAAGCTGGTTTTCGGGTTAATTAAGGCCCTGACAGGGGAGGCCAAGGCCGCTCGCTCCCCTCTGCCTGGGGGCAGCAGAACCCGATGCCCAGGAGGGACGGATGAGGGGGGACAAG